TATTGTTATATGTGTATATATATGCAAGTGTATATTTATATAGAGAGAGAGAGAGAGAGAGAGAGAGAGAGAGAGAATATGCAGGAGGCTCCTAAGATCCAGACTCCCAGAAGAATTCTGCCTCCTCCTGGCCCGAGGATGTATTGATCTAATCTCCAGAATAGAACTGGACAAATTTCTAAAGACCTGGTTACAGCCAAGCCACTGGGGACAGAAATTCCCATTTAGAACTCCTGCAGCAGCCCCACCCACATTGATCTAGTCTGTCTAAACAAAGATCCAATTGACAGTGCTTCCAATTTCATCCTACCTGGTACATTCTTAATGAAAAATGAAACAATTATCTCCACTGGAGATGGTTAAAACTATAGAAAAGGATGGATAATTCATTTTTTATTGCCAGACTGCACTTTTTCCCGTTTTGTTTTGTTTTGTTTTGTTTTTTGTTCTCTATCGCCCTTAAAGAAAGCAAAGGTGAGGTTATTAAACTCTTTCTCCTTTTGTGTTGCTTACAAAACTACATTCTGGAGAGGACTGGAACCAAAATTCATTGAAATGGTTCTCAGTTTCTCTGCTTACTCATGCAAGGTAGGATACAGTGGGAAGTACTGTGTATTGGGCTTTTGTCCAGATAGACAAGATTGATGCACTCCCAGGGCAGGGATGATGCAGAGTTATAAATGGAATGCTTCTGTGGCTGGAGTCTAGTTCTTATCAAAGCACAGAAATTTTATAAGGTGGTATATACTTTGGCGAGATTAGATCAACACATCCGAAGGATTAGGCATATACTGATCTCTGCTGGGCATCTGACTTTCAGGGGTCTCTTGAGAATTCTCCTCACAGGACAGGGTAACCAACAGCATAGGTGGATGGGGCATGGCAGGTATCACATACTCTTCCATCTACAGATATGGCCTTCTAAGGCACAGTCCCCAAATGCAATCGTACCTTTCTGTTCCGTTGAACCATCATCTTCAGCTGGTCAAAGGAGCCGGTAGACAAGGGAAAGTGAGTTGCACTCATCTCCATATCTCTGACTTGATCCCCCTGGGTACAATTTTCTCTGTGCCTGTTTCAGTTGTGTTCTGTCAGAAGTACCCAGGCCACATGGTAGGTGTAGATTAGGATAGTGTGGCAGTATTTGCTATGATCTCCCAGTTTCCTGTAACAGCAAGCTCCAGTATGATCTGTTTATAATGGCTCCCTACCACAGTTTTCTGCTTAAATTTTAAGAAACATGAACACTTTTCAAGCACCAGTTCCCTATGCCACCTCTGATTTAGCAAAATTCAGACTTCCTTTCTGTTTATCAATATTCCTGTGCCAAATTTGTTTGTGTTTTTCTTTCTGTTTGTGTAGATTCTCCCCTCTATGGTGACCCAATAACTGCTACTGCCATTAATTTGGCTCCAATGCACCCTTTCTTATCCTCTGTTCAAAACGCCAGAATTTCAGAGTCTCTGGCCATCCAATATTAAATTTCAATGAATTAGTTCTGTCACTCATCTTGGCGAGAAGTACTATTCCCCCTGCTTCCTATTGCTTTCTTTAAATTTGTCTTGAATTGCCACATCATATCTGTTAATATTTATGAGGCACAGTATGATAATTCAATTCATACAAAATGTGTAATTATCATTACAATAATTCTAATTTTCACTTCCTCAAACATTTATCACTTTCACATGTTGGAAACCTTCAGACTCTTCATTTGTAGTTATGTTGAAATTATTATTTAATGAAAATGTTTACATAAAAGCAAACAGCTCTAGCCAATAGAGATTGATGCATCTGTATCTCTGAGGGAATTCTTTAGTCTCCACAACTGTGTGAGACAATTCCTGTAATAAACTCCTTGTCATCTATTTTTCATCTATAGATATCTATCATTTAATTCTCTTTTTCTCTGAAGACCCTTAATACAAGAAATCAATTTCCTGATATTTTCTTATTAATTGGTTGAAAGTTGGTGAGCTTAGATTTCTAGATTTTAAATAGTTTTTCATAGAATCCTCAAGACATTCTGGTGCTGGGCTGCATGCCTATAATCCCAACAACTTCCAGTGCCCCCCCCCAAAAAAAAAATTTTCTCAGGGCCTATGTCTACTAAATTCTAGTGCACTGTGATGCTTTTAAAAAATTGCATTCCTTCCTGCATCTTGATCCTTGGTATTAAGTCTGGTTTCTTCCCTTTGAAATCTGAAAATATATTCCCTCTACATTAAATATTAATAAATATTAACTGTATATCAAATTCCTGACAACAAAGACATAAAATTAAAACATGTTGATCCTAATAAAATTAAAATCAACTGATTAGAAACCTTTCTTTTGAAAACACATGACCCTGGGGTTCACCTCCTTGTTCTGATGTCTGATCTCAAACAATATACTTAACAAAGCCTTGTCTGAATTATCTTGGTAGTAAAGCAATATAATAATAATCTCATAGGCTTAATAATAACTTCACATCCCACACCATCTTGATCTTAATCCTTGAAACCTTTGAAACCATGAATTTGTTACTTTACATGAAAAAAGGGACACTGTAGGTGTGATTATGTCAAGGGTCATAACTTGGATAGATTCTCCTGTGTCATGCAGGTATATTCAATGTAATCATCAAGGTTTTGTTTGTTTGCAGGGGCATTGTTACCAGAGATTGAACTCAAGCATGCTTAACCACCAAGTTACTCCCCAGAACTCTTGATCTATTATTTTAAGACAGGATCTCTCTAAGATGTTTAGGGCCTCCATTGCTGAGGCTGTCAACTTATGATCATTCCACCTCAGACTCCTGAGGCAATGGGATCACCAGAGTGGACCAACACATCCAGGTTCACTAAGGTTTGTATAAAAGGAAAAGGAGAGGATATAAGGGGAGAGCAGATGTGATGTGACTAATGTTCAATTGATGTGACAAAGGACACAGAAGCCAAGGGATGCTGGCAGCCTCTACAAGATGAAAAAATTAGGCAAATTTATATCCCCTGGAGCCTTCAAAAGAGACCATCCTGGCTGACAGAATCATCTTATCCCAGAGGAGATGACATTGGATCTTTGAACCTGAGAACTATAACATAGTTAATGCATGTTAATTAGTCACTGTATTGTGGTAATTTATTAAGGCAGTAATGGTTCCTAATACAAATATTATTTATCTCAAAGGTTTATTAGAAAGAGTAAGTAAAAAAAATAAAAGAGCAAAGGAAAAAAGCAGGGTAGGGAAAGCAGAAGTTGAACTATGGGGGAAGGTTGTGGTGAAGGGAAGATTATAAATTTTCATGTAAGATACTAAGAGTAGCATCTGAAAAATTGTCATTCTGTTAGGATATAAGGCTGTCTAATGTACCACCTTTCTGTCAACACCTGATTAATATATATATATGTATATATATATATGCATATATATATTTTTAAAATTTTTTATTGTTGATGGAGTTTTATTTTTTATTTATATGAGGTGCTGAGAATTGAACCCAGTGCCTCACACATGCTAGGCGAGCACTGTATAACTGAGCAACAACTTCTTTACCAATTAAGAGTGTTAAAAATGGATACAATGTAGTTTTCATTTGCAATTTTATTTTTAATCTACCTCCATATATTTTTTGGTTGACAAGTAGTGATCATATGCACTGTGGGGGTATATTGTGAAACTATGATACATGTGTACATAGTCCAGTGATTAAATCAGGATAATTAACATGGTAATTGTCTCAAATACTTGTCCTTTATTTGTGGGCACGGTATTTAATATCTCTCTTTTAGGAATTTTGAAGTATGCAGCATTATTGGGAACACAGTCAACATGTTCTGCACTAGATCATTAGAACTCATTCCTCCTGTCTGCCTAAATCTTTTTACCTTTAACTACCTTCTTCTCTTTACGCATCCACTTACATTGTCACCCTTTCCTAAGTTCTGGTAACCATTACTTATCACTATTATAAGAGATTGATTTTTTTTGTATTACAGATAAAAGTGAAACCATGTGATTTTAATTTGCTATGCTTGACTTATTTCACTTTACATAATTTCCCAAGGTTTTCTTTGATTTAATAGTGATATATCATAGTAACGAAGCACAAAAATGTTAAAATACAGAGTGGTTAATGTGTTATAAGTGAATAGGAAGCATGCATTTTTGACAGCTGAGGAAACTCTCTCCAATGGAGTTGGACGTTCACTGGATTCAAAGAAATAGGGTGGAGAGAAGCAGGTCAGAGAAGGCATGCCTAATAGAGACAGAGGC